GAATGTTTGAGAACAGAGACACAACAGGAATTTCTACACACAGATTCTTCCCCATGGATTTGAATCATAGACTCAGTAGAGAGGAAGAGTCTCCTTCATGTGAAAGTCATGAAACAAGGTCCAGTTTCTTTCTTTCCAAGGAATAAAAATATTAAGCCCTAGGGGAAAGGCAGTAGATCCTGTTCCACCTAAACTATACTGAAGACCTGGAGAAGCGCTAAAATACAGATCCGGGGAAAAGGGAAGAATTAACAGTGGCCCCAAACAATTAGAAACATCCTTCTACAAGCAGGGTGTGGGAAGGATAACTGAGATAGTGCCACTCCAATGAGCAAAGGACCCAGGATCTGGCAAGACTAAGGCTTAATCAGGAAGAGAGAACTCCCTGCCCCAAACCACCAAGGTAATTAGTATTTAGCAGGAAGCAATAACAGTATGCTTTTAAAAGGGGACAGAAACATGGAGAACATTTCTGAGGCACAAATACACAGGTTTGAACCAAGTTCCCACAAAAGCACAAGGGAACAGAGGAATCTGAGGCTGGTAGTGAACTGAAGATAATCATAGCAATAACATAACCCACACATGGCTTATTTCCTTATCAGACTGACTCAGCCTTCCACATTAACAATGTAGCTGAATTAGTGTGCCCATGGCAAGGCATAAGTATTATTTACTTTACTCTAATGTTCTATATACTCTGGCAATGAAAAAAAAAAAAACATATTGAGACATATTTAAAAAGCAAGGACAAAATCTTAAGGGACACAACAATTCACAAAACCAGTCCTAGAGATGACTTAGATGTTGAGACTATAATTCAACACAACTATGATGAGTATGTGAACAGCTTTATTGAAACTATGAAAAATATACATGCACAAATGAGGGATTTCTGTAAAGATCTGAACTATAAAAATGTCAAGTGGAAAGGCTAGCAATGAAAAATAGAAATAGAGTTGAAGAATGCCTTTGAGGATCTTATCAGTAGGCTTAAAACAGCTGAGAAATGAATCATTCAAAAATAAAGCTAGGGGGAAAAGCGATCAAACGGAGACACAAAGAGAAAAGTGTAAACATGTGCACACACACATACACACATACAGCTTTGAATAGCTATTGGGATACTGTCAACTTGTCTACAAAAAAAAAACATTAAATTTGATTTCCAAAAGAATAGAAGAAATTCTTGAAGAGATAACAGCCAATAATTTTCTCTAAATAATAAAATATGCCAAACCAGGTATTCAAGAGGCTCAGAGAACCCCCAAAGATCTGTATTTTTTACTTCTGATAAATACCTTATCAATACACTCTCTCTCTCCCTCTCTCTCCACAAACAAGGGATTTGTTTTAGAACAGGGATATGTCCCTGCTTGGGATGTCCACATCCCATATCAAAGTTTCCATGGTCAAGTCTCATTTTTGGTTCCAATTTAGGTTCCTGTTAATGTACACCCTGGGAGGCAGAAGGTGAAGAGCCAAGTAATTTAGTTCATAGGGATGGGACTGTGATGTAAGGAGTTAAGTCAGTGCTTTCAATGTTGGCATGCATTATCAAAGTGCTGGTATGAGTGCCAGACACTTAGGCCTCCAAACCAGTTCCCTGCCGATGTGTTGGGGAAAACAAGATGGCCCAAGTACTTGGGCCTATGTCATCCATGTAGAAGACCAAGATGAAGTTCCAGGGTTGTGGCTTATGCCTAGACCAGCCCTAGCCATTGAGGACATTTGTGGAGTGTGAAGCAGTGGTTAGAGTCTCACTCTCTCTCTCACCCTCTCTGTCTCTCTCTCTCTCACACATACACATTTCATATTTAAACTGTTGAAAAATAAGTAAACAATTTAAAATTAATAATAAGGATTATAAAAAGTGCAAGATAAGAATTACAAGAGACTTTCGGAAAGCATGTAAGCCACAATACAATAGCAGGACATTTTAAATTGTTGAAAGAAGAAAAGCAACTGTCAGCTCAGAGTTTTATATACAGTATAGTTTCTTCCAATAATCAAAGTGAATTTTTTTCACACAAAGGTAGAGGCTTCAGAAGCAGAAACACTGGACCATGGGGAAAGTAACAAGAAAGTTCTTTATTTTTAACTTTTTCATGCCATGAGATAAAAACTCTTATAAAGAAATTGTTTCCAGCAAAGTCCAACATGAAAGGTAAATATGAAGGTCTTTTTTCTTATTTTTAATTATTTTTAAATACAACTGAGCATTAAAATAAAACATAGTAGTAGTAATTATAGAGCAAAAATGAGTAGACTGGGTAGAGAAGTGTTCTCTTTTACGACTTTGTATCAAATGTAAGAGCAATGTGGATGTAACTGTAACTCTAGTACACCAGCTGGGATAACAGACAGTGAAATAAAACAATATTATTTGAAGTTAAACTCTGATTAATTTAAGATGTATTAAATATCTTTGTTGCGGTGATAGTTAACATGACTATATTTATGTGTCTAAAGCTCAGAAGTATACAAAAAGGAAATGAAATCTGCATATGAGAAAGTGACCTATAATCCTATATTTACAGTAGCATGGTCTATAATAGCAAAGGCATGGAAACATCCAGATCCCTGTCAAAAGAGAAATGGATAAAGAAAATGTGGTACATTTACTTTATGGAAAACTACTCAGCCATAAAAAAGAATGGAACTCAAGCATTTATAACAAAATGGTCCCAACTGGAGATCACTATGCTCAATGAAATAATCCAATCCCCAAAAGGATAAATATTGTATGTTCTCTTATACAAGGCAATCTTCATGAAAAATACAGAGTCAATAGATATACAGGTAAACATGTATATAAACATATTTATTTAGAGGAACTGTATCATGGAGGCAAGTAAACCATGAAGTAAAGATACATTGCAGTATGCATCTTTACTTTAAAAAAAAATGGACTCCCAATGAAACTGTTACATATATCTTGACAATAGGATCATTGTGTGTACCTACAACATAATGATACACTTAAATAGTAGAATGATGGACTGTTGTTAAAGGACTATACTATTGGTAAAAAAAAAATAGGGACAAACAGTGAAGGAAGGGGTTGAGGAGGATGGAGGGGAAAATCCTTGAACCTAAGGCATTGTATCATGAAAAATAAATAGTAAAAAAGACTTAATTTTACTAAACATATATTATGCATCAACAAATACTGAATTTTAAGAAAAAGAAATTCTCATGCACCACTTACCTTTTATACGTACATGAATGCTCTTTTCATGGTATTCCACTTCTGATGAATGATGACAAGAAATCTTTTTTTCTGTGTTGTCTAATCTTACCTTACCTGGCTCTGAGGCTTTTATTCATAACATCTAGTTGAAGAAGTTTCTATACCTTCAAATCAGCAGTATACATACACAAACACCCACGCACCCTTGAGGAATTCAAATGTATACAGAACCATGGAGATTGCAAATGAACCATAAAGAAGAGGAATACCTTCTATATATACAAAAGTGACCTAGATCTCATAAATGCTAATGGATCATTCAATATGTGATAGAACTGAGATAGTATAAATTGTATTCTAGCTTGTGAGTGGTCTATAGTTTGCTGATTCTGCTAATAGGTAAGGTCAAAATAGTTTGAAAAAATCACATGCTTTTGTTGTGAATACAGACATTCTCTTTGTGCCCTATATTCACTAATGTTCTTACTGATTTTAGGATCTGTCCACATGATGTTTCTACTATCAAGCTCTTTGCTAGATGATGCTTTATTATGCCATGTTTAAAAACAATCATCCCCCACTCCACTTATGAGTTAGAAAAGAAGCCCGTTCTGACTAGATGTAGCCCAAGATATACAAAGTTTGGCATCAGCGGGAACTCTTATTTGAACTTAAAAGAAACCCCTTCCTCTAGGCTTCAACTGTTATTCCTCTACACAGCCCATACACAGAGGGTCTGTGTTGAGCCTGCAATAAGGAACAGTCTAAGTACAGTAACTGGGTTTTGAGGGACAAGACCAGGAGAGAGGAATGCTGCATATGTGTGGTACAAGACTGAAGAAAAAAGTCAACTCCCTGTGCTAGAGAGCACCAGAAGAGCACCTGGTCAAGGTGCTAAGTGCTAATCAAGCACTCTAAGCCAGCCCTTCACATTGCTCCTGCCTCTCTCTCTATAATGCATTAATGTCATCCTCTATAATGCAGTTTTGCTTAGTTCCCTCATATTGTACCTTTTAGTATCTGTTTAAGTGTCAGCTTCCAGGGAATGGGAGATCAACACTGATTATTTGATGTAAATGAAGTGCCCTTCCCTGCTCTATGCTTTATACCACTAAAGGTTTTCTTTCATACTATGTATTACAATCACAATTATATTTGTATGCTTAAGGATATAGGGAGTTCCCAGAGCTCCCCTCCAAGACACACATTTTTGAACAATAAGCCCACAAAGAAGAACCTGGTCTTTTATCACTTTATTTTCAAAGATCACAGTTTCTGGTAATAAGATATTTTGGTACTTAACAATTAATTATTAAATAACTGTAGACTTTTTTGTTGGAGTCTTCAGCAAACTTTGTCACAGGCATGTATATTCTCACGTACACAGTATAAGAATGTTAGGAAACCTTTCCCTTTATAGCATTCAGTTTAAAATTGAATGTGAGTAGTTAGAATGACATGAGTATATAATATAATATAATATAATATAATATAATATAATATAATATAATATAATATAATATGATATTTTTATTTGGCTATATTTTTAAGAAATAGTGCCCTTTTGGGAATTTGCTTGATTTCTGCTAATATTTATTAGGTATGTGTTGGTACATTATGGATTCATTAATAAATTACTGTTGTAATAAACGCTAATTCTTAAATGTTGCTTAGATATCTTAATTTGATCACTTTCTCAAAGTGCAATACTATGTTTTTCATTATTTGATTAGCTATGTGAATCTATGACTCACAATTGCAGACTTTTTCAAAGTTAAGATTGAATAAATAATATAGCTCTACTTACCAAATAGATTCTGCCATAAGTCCCAAGGCCAATGGTTTTGTCCAGCGAGAATATTCCAGTTGGATCCTGCAAAAAGAAAAAAAAAGCGTCCATCTTCTTGAGGAAATTCTAATCTGTCTTACTGCTTCAGAAAATGCAGAGGAAGACCCTAAATGTCATAAAAACCTAACCCTTGTCTGAATGAAGTCATTTGCAAAAAAAAAAAAAAATGCCATGAACATAAAGTACTTCCGTGATTAGTTACCATGAAACTGTAAAAAATATACACAATGACTGAAAATCAAGGCAAAATCATATTGCAATTAAAATAGAATTTTTAAAATATACCCATGAAACAATCAAATTATTCTTTCAATGTCTACTTTTTGAATGCTAACCAGAAAAAGTTCAATATGCAGCAATGATGTTTGGATACAAGTCCAGATGACTTACTTATACCTAGTATAGCAATTGTACAGAAACAAAAAGTAATCTCTTAAGTATGAATAGTAAAGATAAATCACAATGCCACAAAGGCAGCATTAAAAAGAAGCACCCAAATCTGATCTTTACATCAACTGAATACTTTTTTCATGGCAAAAAGTGATGTGCTCTGTGAAGTAAGCCTAAATGTGTTATCACAAAAATACATGTGTAAGGGTAGAGTGTTGTTATTCATTCTCCAACAGCTATCTTTCCTTTAAATATTGGTACCCCTTTCTTGTTCAATACAAAACATGTGATCTTGTATTTTATCCCTACCTGAATTCAGAAGTATATTTTTCTAGTTTAGAAAAGGAATATATAAATATGGATTGGTGCCAATTTATACACAAAGTGATGGGAAAATCATGGAAATGAATATGCCTTACAGAAAGCACATTTTATATAAATGCTGTTTAATCCTGCTTGAAAATACTTTGATCACTGTGATCAATGCAAGCTAGTAAGAAAACTTTCAGTGTGCCATCTAGATGAATTCAAGCATAGAATCCTTAATACTGGTGTGATATTTGTGTAATCCAGCAAAAACTATCATAGAAAAATGACACAGCTCTGGGATTCTGCCAGCCAAAAGTAATCAGTTGGACAAGAGTCAGGCAACTTGAATTTTAGCCCTAAGTCCGCTGTTAATTAACAACATGATTCTGGATAAGTTACTTACTTTCTCTGGGATTCAGTTTTCACTTATAAAAAATGAAGGTGCTGTTAGGTTATTTCCCAGTTATCTAAATCTAGGAAAAAAACAAGTTTTAACATTCTGAAATCCTGATTTCTCTCCTGGATTTATGCATCCGTTATGAAACAAAGCAGCAATCACATAGTCCACTTTGTCCAAGTGATCAATTCAGCTAATGCCTAGGGAAAACTATCGATAAAAACAAATAATTTAGGGGATATATTCCCATGTGAAAATGTAGAATTCACTTAAAATGATATTTGTTTAAAATCATGAACTAAAACTTGTTTATTACAGTACCCTTGGTATTAAATGCGGCGCTTTTGTTGTAACTGATTGAAAGATATGTAGGGGAACTTAGCCCACAAAGGAGTTACTCAGGACTAGCTTGACAACTTCATTGATTTAGCATAGTTCTTTGAAGGGTATTACTGGGAGATTTATTTTAGATATCACTATTGATAGAGAAATAGGCTCTTGCCATCTATCAAACCTAAACATGTTAATTCCTATTAGTACATCATTCTTTGCTGCAGTTAAGGCTGCATTTTAACTGAAAAATAAAACATAAGAAAATCACTGTTACGTGTATAATATTTAATTTTACTTTTTAAGCACAGCAGTCATAAATGTGTTTTCTTTTGCTAGTCCTCATTAACACAAATATCTTACTCCAATTTGAACTCAGATATTTAATAATCAGAAGAGACAGAAAAGAAAAGAAATGTAATAAAATACCTGCATGGAGGCCTTAGTTTCACTCTTTTCAGGCTATCAGAGAACTTTTCCAGTTAACAAATAGCTAAATTCTTAATTATTCTCATGCGCACAGTTAATGACATAATTTTCTTCAGAAATTTTTCTTCTGTTCATACAGGCACTTCAATTTGGTATTCATATATGATAAGGCTATACTGATTTCGCCAGTTTTATGTGGAATTCGTTTTGATTTTTCCTGTGCACGCTAGTATCTCTCAAGATTAAATGACTGTAAAACTGGGAAAACGAAGGGGAGGTGCGGGAAATGCTCATTGCCAGGCTGCTAATATGTAATTTCTCATACCTTGACGTACACTGCAAGCAAGTTTGTTCTGAAATTTTAAGGAAGGAAGCATGGAGAAAAAAAAGTCACCTCCCTTTGGTCACTGTAAAATGAAAGGTCCACATCACAGGCTTCCCATAATTGCTTGAACCTCCTCTCTGCCCTTCCACCGTGAGACAGGAAAAGCAGAAGAGGAAAGATGTCCATGTGTATGACTGCGAGATCAGTTTGTAGATTATCTTGCATGCTTTGGTGGCCCATTTTGGTAAAAAAAAAAAAAAAAAAAAGGAAAGCAACGAAGGAGAAAATCTAAGTTATAAATATTTTCTCAAAAAGAATAAAAACCTAAGTCTTAAAAATATTTTTTGAGCCATAGCTGTTAGATGTTTTATACTTTACTATCTTTCCCCATATCTAAATTACCTATTGCAAGTTTAAAGTCCTTGTCTGAAACCTCAAGTTTTGATTTGTTTCTATCTTCCAAATACTAGGGGTAGTGGAAAGAATGAGTACCTCAATGGCTCATGTTAAGAAGGGACAGGATGGGGAGGAAATAGGAAGTAAAAGAACCACTAGAAGGCAGTGTTTACTGGTCAAGGAAGAGACTTTTCAAAGTAGAGGCTGAGCTGATAGAACCAAATATGGTAGTGATTTAGGAGTAAGGAGAACTGATAGGAGGTCAATATAGGTAGCAAGAAATTTCTAAGTTAGTAAAGGAAAGTGAAAAATGGTATTCCAGTAGTAAAACTGCAAACAGAAGAAAAGAAATGCCATACTACCATAGTACCCAGAAGGAGATGGCAGAGGCTGTTCTTTTAGTTTTAACATTAGAACCAGTGGTTTATGAAAATAAATCACGGAAAGTGAACCTGAAAATGATGGATGTAATGAGGTACATTGCTGGAGTAAATTTCAGACATGGTTAGAAAAATGGAGTCCACAATCCAAGTGGAGAGTTTAGAAAACAACAATTTCTTTACACCAGCACTTCTCTAATGATGGGCTATACAGATTCTCCCTATGTGAGAATCTTCTAGAAAAGTGTGTTAACTGTAAAGATTTCTTGGGCCTACTATAGAATAATGAAATAAGTTTCTTGGGAGGGGTCCCCAAGACAGCTCAGAAAATTGATTCTTAGGCAGTGACATATGAAAACCATGTGCCCCAAAACGGGAAAAAATGACTGAGAAAATGGATTGAAGTACAATGTCATGCTAGGGAGATCCTTTGCATGTAATGGAGGATATGCTGAGTATTTCAATCCTTGTGGATTTGAAGGCAAAAACTGCTTCCAAACAGGAAGCTAAGGGACTTAATCAACTGGGAAGTTTCTTATGACTGAATGTGGAAAGCAGACTCTGTCTGGGTGGTAGAAGACCAGGAGAACTGGCAGTTATATTTAAATATAAACCTAATGTAATTCAAATATAGTTTTTGGATCATGTGCTATTTCAGATCACCTCTGTTACTACTGTCCTCAAGGGCTGTCTAATCCTGACCCCAATATAGATTAGGACTACACATGGCAGTGTCAAATACCAAGGCCACAGCCCTTAGGAATGTCATTACCATACTGGGCACAGAAGGCAGAGGGGACAATCATAATTAAAGACATGCCAGATTCAGAGAAGAAATAGTTTCCATCCTAAGGATTGAATGACACAGATGTACTAGGAAAAAAATATAGATATATATGTTTGTCTGTTTGTACACACACACACGCATATATATATATACAACCGACATTCAAGGAAAAATAAACATACTTACACATATACATAATGTATACATTATCTGTATATACACAGTTATATATATACACATTTGTTTATACTTATATAGAAAAGAAACACACCTAGGTCCCTGAGTATTGCAAATGGATAATGCATACATATATGTATGTATAAAAATAATTCTCTATATGATGATATATTAAGTCACATTTATTACAATTTTTATGTATTAAGATATAAGGCTTTGCAATTTTCTTTTCAAAAGGCATGGGAAAACCACAAATCTCTGTGCTTTCTCTTGTTTTAGCGCCAGTACAAAATATTTACTCAAAAGAAAACTGAAAAAAAAAATGCAGCAATCCATTAACAAACATAATGGAGTTAACCTGTTCCTTGCTGGTGATAATGTTGACTCATATTTTCTGCCTAACTTCAGTGCATTATGCAATAGTTACACAATTACATAAAAGTTAAAATCTTTAATTGTAAAAGTCATAAAATTATCTCACCATTTCTTGCAGAATCCCCACTCCTGCTGATTAAGCTTAAAAATTATATCTGTTTAACAACAAACAGTATCAAAAAAACTGCCACTTTTAAAAAAAATGCCAAATTGCAAAACAAGCTTGTCCTCTCTCCAGGATTTCTGCCATGTGGTCATTTGGCTGGCCAGCTCTACAAAGCGCATAAAGTATTCCTATTAAACTAGATCCATGTTTAATTACTTTCCTATAGTCTGCAAACTTCTTTTTGTCCAAAGATTCACAGTTTTAATCTGCCTCCAATAACTAATTGTTGCCAAATGGGTTTGCTTGGTGTTGGCAGATGCCAATGTTCTGACCTTCGCATAAGTCCTATTGAGGATAATTATTGAAAGAAATATTAGCTCATAAAAGTCTGTTTGCTTTATCACCTCATTTTGCATCAAGATGCAAACTTGAGACAGCTGAGTCAGGTAGCGCTTCACTTCTCTATGTACTTCTATTTCTTCAAAGTCTCAGAAAAGAAGCCGAATTTTACAAAATCACCAATCACTAAAACACACCTCAGTGACCAAAACCATGATGATGTTCACATCTCTGAAAATTCTATAGAAAAGAAATCTAAAGCATGGGCTGCTTTTCTGTCTGATCACTTTGTGTTTAGGGTGAGAAAAATTATGCAGAATTTGCTCAGTTAGTGAACACCTCCACAATGAAGCAAAGTAACTCCTGTATAAATATCCAGAAATTGTTAGATGCTGTGAACTTCATGAGCCTTTTATGAAGTCTGTACAATGGGATCAAACATGAATGGCCTGAAATCTTGTGTTTTCTTCCCACACCTCTCACATCCTATACCAACAATGTTTCTCTCCTCTGCTTCTCTCCCCCCCACCCCCCCGCATATCCTCACCCCAATCCTCCTCAAGAAAACTAGTATTCCACTGAGCTGCAAGGTGAAGATTGAAGCCATTCTGAAATGGGCTGTCACCAATTTTAACATCCAGGGACCATGGCTAGGCCACTTAGTCTGGGCTGTTTCCCCCATTGTGTGTGTGTGTGTGTGTGTGTGTGTGAGAGAGAGAGAGAGAGAGAGAGAGAGTGCATGAGAGAAACTTTCTTTCTTATTTTCACTGGGTTTGTAATTCCTTGTCCTATCATTTCTATGAGGTCTTCCCCATTTCTCTCTTTATAGTCAATTTTAGAAAGGAGCTTATTTCAGTTTACCCATGTGTAGTTTCATTGTATCTACCCTAACTATTCTAATTGTTGTTGTTGTTTTTCTCCTTCCCCACCATACAAAGAGAATGTTGGAAAAGAGTAAGGGTTCATGCATTTATGTTACAGTTATATTTGGGAGCAAACCTAGTTTGAGTATGAAGATTCTGTTTAGAAAGGAAACCACCAATTGAGGCATTTTATTCTGGAAATCTCATATATCCACACTGAAGGAATTCTGGGTGCATAAACTCTGGGAAAGGATTTCATTTTTAAAAAGTTCTGTTAGTTCTGTGACTGAAAGTCACATCAATAGTTGCCTTTGCTAATATTTGTGAGGCAACCTGTTTGTATTGAGGTGTGTGTGTGCGTGTGTGTGCGCACGCGCATGCGCACAAGTTTAGTTAATCATCAAGAACTATATGCTAAAATGCTACCTATATGCATCACTCACCTCTCCCTATGTACACTATTTTGCTGTAAACTTATATAGGTGAAGTATTAGGAATGCCCCAGTTTTGAGCAATGCAGGCCTGTCATCAGTAAGAATAAAATGTTTAAATGTCATATATATGCATGCATATATATGTGTGTGTAAAATAAAACTGAGGCTATGTAGCTTTGAATAGCTGTGTAACCTCAAGGTTAATATTTAGCTTCTCCCAAAGTAAGGAGGCCAGTGTCCTGCACTGCAGTTGCCTGGCGATCATTCCAGCACGGTGCCTGCTTGCTTCCCTTTCAGAGTCCAGGGGCCCTTTGCATTCAAGAGGGGGTGCAAGTGAAATGCCAATCTAAAAAGGGAACTTGAGAAACGGATTTGGGTGTGATCCAGTATCAGCCAGAAACCAGATGCCAATGAAATAAACGGTGCTGCTAAAATAATACGTCGACTAATAACCACGGCGATAGTAGCTCACCAATCAATTACAGCTCTGGTGGAAAAGCTGGGCATTTGAGAAAAAGAGAAGTCACAAACGAAAATCACGGGGAAAGTTAATCTGGAGAGCTGGGAAGGGTATTGCTCTTTTTTTTTTTTTAATTGGGGTGTGCAGAATTCACTTCTTTCCCAAGCAGACGTCGAGTTCCTATGCGCCCGCTCCCGTAACTCTAAATCAGGAACATTGCTCTGGCGAGAATAAGAAGATTTTAGAAAGTACTTTAGAATGTGAGAGAAGTGCCACTCCAATAAGTTAATTTTCTAGCCTTCTGACATGTAAAAGTCACCACGCGACGAAACTCCGTGGCTAGCAAAAGGAAGCAAGTCAAGGGGAAGCGGGTTCCTGGGGGGGAATAATCATGCTCTCTGAAGCCATGCGCTTTGGGGGGCCTCTCCTGGAACACAGCTGACCCGGTACCCAGGAAACTGCTAGCCAAGGACCACACTTAGAAAATGCCCCGCATTCGAGGACCCACAGGAACCCATTGCCACTTTTCCCTCCCGCCACTACTCTGCGTCCTTGCCTTTCCGTGAAGTTTGGCACAGCCCCAGGGACCAGGGGGCGCCTTTCCAGAATACCCGCACCCAACGCGCAACTCCCACGCCTGTGGGCCCCGTCGAAGTCCCAGCCTCGCTTGGCTACAGGGCGTTAGCTCCCTCCCCTGCTTAGATCCCGCAGAAAAAAAAAACTTACAAGAGCCGCGGTGGAGCCGCTGGGCGGGGGGCGTTTCTACTTACCGGCAAGTGCCCCAGATCAGTGACCTCCTTGTCTCTCCAGCCTCCAGGTCCTGCCATGGCTTCGAGAGGAATAGGAGCGGGCGACCAAGTTGGGCGCGCTCGGGGAGAGTCCGCGGGGGGACGTGGATGGAGGAGTTGTGGCGGGGAAAGGGGGGGAGGGAGAGGGAGAGGGCGGGCGAGAGGAGTGGAGGGGAGAGGGGTTGGTGGTGTTGGCTCAAGGAGGGGGGTGGAAAGTGGAGGGAAAAGAGCCCGGAGTGGAGGGAAAGCCGGAGTTGGAGAGGCGGGAAAGCAAGTTTGGCTAAGGCTAGAGGAAGAGTTGGAAGCGCCGGTCCTCGCGACGGAGCAAGCCGGAGGGGTGCTCGGCAGCGAGAGCGCAGCGTCTGCCCCGGGCAGGGTGCGCCTCTTTCAGGGTGGGGAGGGGGGCGGTGCGAGGCGAGGGGCCGGCGGGCGCTGCAAGGGGATTGGTGCAGCGTCACGTCGCCAGGTGGGCAGCCGCGCGCAGGGAGACGCAGGCGAGGGGCCCTCGGGCCAAGGAGGTGCTGAAGGACTATAACGGTCTGCAAACGGCCTCCGCGTGGCCTCCGCCGCCCTCCCGCCCCCTCCCAGGTCCGCGGCTGCGTCCGCCGCCCCCGCCCCCGCCGGCCAGTGTTCCACAGGAAACTTTTTTCCAGGCAGCTGCCAGCCCCGGAAAACCGGTCCCGCTCCGCGCCGCTCCCAGTCTGGGCCCCACAACTTTGCCGCAGTCCAAACAAGCCCCGTTCTCCCTTGTCTTCCCAAGAAACACTTGTGACTTTTTTTCTACTTGCCTTTTTTTTTTTATTCCTCCCCTCCTTTGAACACCGCTTCCAACCCTCCACCCCCCGACCACCGTCACAACACACACTCTGAGTTTCTTTTTGCCTCGATTTGTAAAGACATCAGCAAGTTCGAGAAGCAAAGCGACTAAGCAGCCAGGTTAGGGACCAGAGCTTGACAAATCCCTATGTGAGGGAAAGGAGGGTTCGAGATCGCCCCGGGGCTGCCACAATTCAACCTTCGAACCTGCTACTGGCCCTGGGCAGGACAACGCGGACAAGAGTCGCTGTGAAGTCCGTTTATCGCGGGCCGCTACTCCTTTGATTCTGGGCTAATTGATGGCAGACCCAGCCCGCTAACTGGCAGTCGCACCTGTTCACAGGTGCTTAGCTTTAAAAGACACCGAGAGCCTGCAGGTTCTGCTGCCCTGGCTTCTGAGTTTACAGATGCTGCATTCGCAAAACGCAACGTTACGGCGTGCTTCCCAGTCTACGGCAAATCCACTGCCTTTCATTCATTCTCTCATTCATTGCGAAAGCTTCTCAACGCCCTCCACGCCGGCCCCCGGCACCCCAGAGCACAGGAGGGTCCCATGTACAGATTCAAAAGAATCTTATAAACATTTAACCTTGAAACTGAAGGCTCCCCTTGGGGCATTTATGGGGAAGGGAGTCTGTGCGTAAAAAAGTAACCACACTTGAGGCTTTTGCATTGCAAAAGGGCATTTTAGAAAATGTCTCACTTTAGAAAGCTGCTTACTTTCCCTGGAGCAGAAACGGCTTTCTGCGCACCGGAGCCCTCCGAGTCGGAACTCCATGTGGAAGGGTTGTTTTCCTATTCTTCTTGTGCCTCATTCGGGATCTGCACAAATAACTGTTGCCACTGCTCTTGAGTGGAGCATTTCTGACCCGCTCTTGCAACTTTTGTATTTCTTCCCTTTGGATACTGATGGATATTGTTTATTTCGTGTCTGTTTCAACACCCGCGTTTGACCTCTTTACATTCCTCAAGCTCTGGGAGTCCTTCAGTTCTGTTTTACCCACAGCCTGTCTGAGGAGCCGGATCTCGCTAAAGAAAGAGAATTCTCCGGTAAGGAGTGCGGAGGAAACCAGCTACCAACTCTTCTGCAGCATAAACTTGGTTGTTCTGGACCGAATTTTCTTGTTGATTCACATATGATAAGCACCATCATAGAAATTATATTTTCCAAGGATTCTAATCTAGACAATTCCACCACACATCATTGGACCCCTTTAAAAGCAGAAATTTTAGAAAATTCCTAGATGATCATAAAACTCTTTTTGATCTTCCTCGATTCAGCCTGGAAATCAACATTTCCTAACTAGAGAAGGGCAGATGAGTTGGTGAAAAGAAAGTGACACTTTCAGGTAGACATCTAGATGTTAGTTTTTAAAGATCAAGCCATGGAATTAAGAAATATGGCATCCACAGGGACTCTGAAGAGAACCTCGGCTAATGGGAATAAGTGTTCTTAAGGCAGTTAGATTTTTTTTTTAAATAAACAACAATGCGGTTTGTTGAATGTAGGGTGTGAGGAAGTGTGCCCCGTGGCCCCCCAGTGGCAGACCGTTCTAACCTAACGGGGCAAGTGCAGACTGGGCCGAAGAATCCAGGCTAGGTCACTGGGCTCTCTTGTTGCAAGGCTCTGCGGGAGACTAGCGGCTTGGTGGACTCCATGAGGATTAGTCAGTCACATGCCTGGTGGGATAGCCTGAGAAGGTGGAGGGCAAGCTAGATATTTGACCAGAATGTGACAAAGTATCTATACATTTTTACACTTAGTATGATGTTGGGGGTGGGGAGAAGGGGGAACCCAGGCATGGAAAGTTTGCCTTGTAAGCTGACATTAGGAAGCTTTGTGTGGCTGGCCTTGGGAGGTTCAGTCCCGCTGGTCTACCAGAAGGCAAATAGATGGCCTCCGAGAAGGAGGAATCAAACCCCGAGCACAACCTTCAAATGGAGCATATTTTTCCAACTTCAGGGTATCTTCACCTTACCCCTTTCACACCCAGCAGTGTGTGTGTGTGTGTGTGTGTGTGTGTGTGTGTGTGTGTTTCTTTTTTCCATGGTCTCAAAATTCATAAAAATTAATACTGGCCTGGGCATGGTCCAGGAACTGGTCAAGCTGTGTTTTCCTCACAAGTGGCATCTCTCTGCCAACATGACAGGTTCTGCATTTTTTTCCCCACCACTTTCTTGAACCATTTGTAGTATAAAAAAGAATTCCTTTTGGTATTTCTTAATAGGTGCAATGCATCAAGCGCTTTTGTATATGACCTCCTTTAATTTTCCCAAATCAGTTTAGTATTATCCCCATTGCGTGGACAAGTAAGTCGAGGCAGAGGGAGATGAAGAAACTTATCTAAAACCTCACAACCAGTAATTGGAGGAGACTGGCTTCCAAGGCAGGCAGTGTGACTGCTGAGCCCACTTGTCAATGACCACTGGAGGACTGGTGAATATTTTGAGACTGTGTGAAGAGCAGCCAAATTCAGAAAGGCCTCAGGGTAAGAGAGATCAGATGACATTAACTAGGCTCCTGAGCTATCCAGTTCCCCATTCCCCCTTTCAGCCCTCAAGCCCTCCTCACAGAAATAACATGGGTTTTATAAAAAGAAGTGGGACCCAGACACGACCTTAAAAGTAACCACTGATCACCAACTGGATCACCTGATAAGGAAAAATCCTGGGTGTCAAGCTTAAGCAACTGCCTGAAAAATAAATCCAGCCATATCCAATGTTTTGAAAAAGTAAAACTCACTCCCGTTCCTTCCAGAGAGTTGTTGTGGGGGGAGTGGTCTGGGAACAAACCTTATTTATCGAGGACCTGAAGGAGACTGTGTTTGTGAGCAATCGTGCTTAACAGACCCGAGATGCTAAATAGCAAGGTTACAGACAATTTGCTCAAGTTGGTAGAATTTGCTGAAGCCATGGTGCCAAGGACATGGGTTTGATTCCCCAGGCAGTGTGTACTTCTCTATGCTTTGGCCTTTCATAGATGCTCCACCATTGCCCGTGTGTGTTAACTGGAAAAACAACTTCAAGGTAAGCACTTCCATCTTTGTACACAAAGAACTATAGACTCATTTTTATGTTAATTGCTAGTCTTCATACTTTGTAGATATTACACTGCAAGGGCATAGTTGTTTTTTTTTTTTTTTTTTTTTTAAGATTTACTCTATGTTTATTGCCAAAGCAGAATTACAGAGAAAATGAAAAACAGAGGGAAAAATCCATCTGCTGGTTCACTTCCCAGGTGGATGCAACAGCTAGAGCCAGGAGCCTCTTTCAGGTCTCCCACGTGGGTACAGGGTCCCTTGGTTCTAGGACATCCTCTACTCCTTTTTCCAGGCCATAAGCAGGGAGCTGGGTGGGTGGGAAGTGGAACAGCCAGGACACAAACTAGCGTCTATACAGGATCCCAGCAGATGCAATACAAGGATTTAGCCACTAGGCTATCTCACTGGGCCCTGTATGTGTATGTGTGTTAAAACTACAGATTCAAAAGATTCTCAAGAATTATTTTCTTCACACAGTTAAGACTGGCAATCTATGTCTTCACCAAGTATTTTCTTTAAAAGTGATCTGATAAAATGCACGATTGACACTTTCAAGTACATGGTCTCTTTTTATCTGTGTGGAATAAATTCCAAAATTCCTAGTGGAAGTGGATACCTAATACGCAGTGCCAAACTCTATATATACTATGTTTTCTCCTATGTATACATATTTATGAAAAAGTTAAAAATTAGGCACAGTGAGAGAGTAGCAACAATCAACTAATGAAAATAATGAGTTAGAATAATGTATTATAATAACATTTATTTAAAATGCATGGCTTGTTTATTTGTGAAATTTGCCATTTTATATTCTCAGACCCTGGTTGACACTGGTAACAGAATCTACAGAAAGCAGAACAGAGAGCAGATACAGAGCACTGTCGTACACCAAAAATGTCTATCATGATTGATTTTCCACTACTTGGCTACGTCACATATAAAATTGAATCAATCTTTCGAAAAATTTTGTTTGCACACGTTTGCTTTCTGCACCACTGGATCCTAGCTAGTGGGAATGGTAAAATAACATATGGCAATCTGGAAGATTCCCTGATTTGTGATTCTAGCTGTGGCATGTCCAGTGTATTTGTTTATTATTTTTATTTTATTTACTTATTTCTCATGATATGGTTCCACAGACACAGGGATTTCCCCCTTCCACTGCCCACCCTTGTTTCCCCC